GTGGTTCTAGCAAAGAAACACTGGCTACTCCTTCCCTCCAAACTCAAACACTCATTTGCTAGAGCGCAGCACAGCAGAGCAGGCTAACCGGCCACAGTCAGATAGCTGTGTAAACAAAGCCTGCTGTGCAGTCTGAAAATTGTTCCATTTGCATAAGGTGTGTTTGAGGGAGGAGCACAAAGGAAGAACATGGTGGAAGGGTGAGGGGAGGGAGGAGGTGTAGAGGTGGACTAAACCATTAGAGTTCTTTGCTCAGTGTAGCTTGAGGCGGATTATTTAACTCCACCTTAATTCCAGGGAGCACCGGGGTGTGGCCTGCCAAGAAGGTATATCACGAAAGTCCCCATCACATTGTGTCCTCTTATCCTGTCACTGTGTGGTTCTATCACTCTCTATGACAAGATTTGATCTCCCTTTTTCTGTTCACGAGCCCGCCTTATGGTAAGGCGTTAAGACAGGAAGGAAGCTGTTGAGTCAGTCGTAGCATATACACAACAAGCTCTTTCCTGCCTGAACAAGATTTGAAATTGTGAACTTGTGTGTCTGTATGTCAGGCAGATGGTTAGGCAGGGGTGGGGGTGGATTTGAGTCATTACCTGTCTAAAACATTATGTAACTATTCTGTAACACATTTTATGTCTTACTACATTAGGGACAAATATAGAAATGATGTCTTGCACTTCTTGAGTGCAAGGATGCAGTGGTTTTTAATGTCTTTTTTATGCTTAATATATTCAGGAGGGGTTCTACTGTCAAATTGTGTGACTGTTTGCAAACAGTGGAGGAAAATGGACTTGCTGGGATTTGCAAAATAATTATTTTCCTCCATCACTGAACAAAGGACCATCATATTATAGAAACAGTCATTACAGCCTTTTAGTGCATACTTGAGATTCTCAAGGAAGTTTATGTGCACAACTTTCATGTCTGTGCTCCATAATGGAACACCAATAATAAAGCAGTATTTATTTAAATATGTGTAATACACAACAAGATTATTGTCAGCAGAAACTATGTATTAAAATAAAATTAGAAATATATTTTGAAAGCTGAATAACTTGAATTGAAGGTTGCAGCTGCTTATTAAGGCAAAGGTGCAGATATGAAATGCCTCTAAGACTGTAAACACAGTAAGGGCTAAAGTCACAGCCTTTCTTACGAGGGCATGGCTTTTTGGTCTGGTCAGGGGGCAGTGGTATAAAAGGTCTGGTTTTTTTCAAATCTGTATTTGTCTTGATGAGCAGGGAGCATCTGGATGGGTCTCATTAGAGGACCAAATGCCCCGGGCCTTCTGTGACTGGGTGTTTATGGAGGGAGACTGGACTAATGAGAACACACTTCCTTTTGAGGAACAGAGGCTATGCTATGGTCACATGCAGAGACAAAAAACAGCTTAGAACTGGTAAAACTCAGTAATGGCAATTTAAGATCCCATTGGGTATATATTAACATGAGAGGCAGATGTGAGGGCAGGATGGTGTCTGGCTTAACAAATTATGTTATGGCATTTTCCTCCCTGCAAAACTCATCAGTCATTCACTAATATACACTAACTAAATATACTGGATAGGATTAACAGTTATTTTCTGAATCTTGTGAAATTTGAAAACAAACACTGAAAGCCAAAGGGGGATGTGGGAGAAACTGCATCGAGCAAACTGGAGTTGAGCTAATGATAATTAATGATGCTCTGATGTGGTGAATGGACGCAGGAGGAAAAGATAGAAGCTTCTGGGGGAGTAAGAACTGCCAGAGGGAGAAAGGAGAAATATATTGCTGAGCATGTAAATTTTATCTAACCCTCCTACAGCACAACCCCTTCGAAGGACCCGGGGGAGGGTTAAAGGCTAGACCATGCTCCAAACACTGGTAACTGAAGGGGAATCCCCCTGGAGCAAGTAGGGTTGATTTCTCTTGAGAGGCTCACAGTCACTCAAGTCTTGTGAGTGATCTCCAAATGTGGTAACTGTGACCAAATAACTTTTTTTTGTTTCTTAGTTCATTACTTATACATCAAATATATTGGCATGGACAGTGTATATTAATTGTGTATTGCCAGATGTATTTGATTTGTCGTAGCTATTATAATGATGTGGACATCAAAAATAACAGTGTTAATAAAAGGAATATGGACACTTTTGCTTTTTCCTACTATGGAAGCTTCCACAAGTAAATACATGGAACGGTTAGTGTGAAGCTGGGCGTTACTTAGAAAAATGCAAATTTGCCTTGCCATCTTGCCTTGCTACTCAAACAGTACAGGAACTGAGATAAGTGGTTATTTATGCAAACTACAATGATCTTAACACAAGGGAGGCTCACTACTGTGAAACAAGTGGCAGCCTCTGCTGTTGCACCTGGAGTGAAATGATTCATGTCAGAGGTGTGAACCAGGAAATGACACGATCATATTACAGAGAGAAAAGCAGAGAAAGTTTTCATTGGAAGGCACTGTGAAAGAGAGAAGCGTAAGTAAGCAGCAGTTTAGAGGATGCAGTAGGTCTTGACATTTGGGGATAAGTAGTAAAAGGTGGGCAGGAGCTGTGCCTGGGGGGAAATGGTTGCTAGAGCATGTCAAAGAATGTGCACATCAAGCCCACACTTGTCAAACGGGGATGGTATCACAGGTATTCACATGGGAGCGTATGCATTCACACACACACACACACACACACACAGCACCATAATTATAAGACAGCAGGATGCAGAACATCTTTAAATACAGTTCTGTGTGCATACAACCAGAGTACAGGCCAAGGTGTGTTTTGTGTTGGTATGAGGAAATGAGTCGGGCAGTATTTGTAAGTGAAATGAGGGTTTTATCTTTCAGAAATAGTTTGACTACAGTAGCACTCAAAGATCATCAGAGCATTTTGCTGTGTGTGTCTTACTGGGTGTGTGTGTGTGTGTGAG